TTTTTGCCTACTTAGTTTGATTTTGTTCTTTTCTCCATGCACTCAATGTCTGTTGACTTAGGTACTGTTGCTTCCTTCATAATTCGCACAAACGCCGCTCATCTCGTCGGAAGAAGTCTTCCGCAGCGGATTACGGATGATATCGTGTGTCGTCTGAACAATGACCCGGTGATACGGTAAGCAATATTGTGCATATTTATTCATTCTTATATTTAATTTATGAATAGAATATTGTGCATATTTATTGCAAAGTATTATGCATATTCTATCATGTCAACCCGTAGCTTATTCCGAGCAGAGGGTATTACAAAAAATGAGATAAGCATTTCAACAACAATTAAATCAGTTTGACGTAAACTAGATATATTTTCAGAAGTGGAAATTTAGAAATCTTCTCATAAAAAAAGACTTTTCAAATGGGAGAGGATGATTTTGATCTTAGATGTTCATGAATGTGAGCTAGACACCATAAAAGCAACAATCAATATGAGAGCAACAATCCATAAAACACGACAAATATTGTGTTTTGATTTATTTTCTCTCGAAAAAGACTATGATCCCGTATCGTATATTGAGAATTCAGATCAGTACATGATGTGAAAGCGACTGCTTTGGGCGTTGAACAGTCACGTTTCAAAGCCGAATTGGATTTTGATGGCCGTGCAATCACCCGCGCTTATTTGCACCATAATGTCCAGATGTCGACATTGCTGAAAGTACGTGTATTAATGGGTTGATTAATCAAATTTGTGATTTATTGATTCATTCTAGGAAGTCAAGGATATCAAAGACGAAGGTGAACTGGCGAATTTTATGGAAACGCATGGTGAAAAGATTATTGATCGTCTTGGTGATGAAATCGATCGGATCGAGACTGAAATCACCGGAAAACATCCAGATATTCAGCATGTGGATTTGGAGGCTTTATAGACTTGTAGTGAGTGGACTTACGCAGGAAATTAGAATGCTTGTAATAGCTTAGTTCCTTTTTTGTACAGAAATGATAGCAGAATTCTCATCAAAAAGTGGTTTATCTTGATTTAAGCGAAAGTTCTGGCTTTGCTTTCGTCTAGGTTGTGATCTAGAACACTAGATTTTGATGCCTAGAGGGTCTTAAATTTAGTGTTTAT